AAGTACAGTAAAGTTTAGTCCTAACTAAACTAAGTAAAAAAAAAAGAAACGTACACAGGTTACAGTCTTAACTTATGTCTTTATTGAACTTAGGTCTAACATAAGTTAAAGTTTCATAAAGTACGGCCTATATACAAGTGGATTTACACATTTCGTTGTCTACGATTACAATTCGTTTGTATTGTGCTAGAAATGTTTTACGGATCTCTACTAGTAACTTAGTATTGAATTAGGTTTACTATGAAAAACAGACGCCAATTTTTACGTATCCAAAGAGTACGCTGTGCAATGTGGACCTAGGAAGTTATCAGACTTACTGTTGGCATATTAAGATATTTTAGAGGAGTGGTACTCTAAAGCAATAATATATTATTATTATTATTATATATTAGAGTATTACTATATTAATACTATATATATATATATATATATGTTCTTTTTATGTTCAGAAAATGAACTCATCGATGTTTTCTGGTAAATGGAAGAAAAATCCAGATTTTGCTTTTCCTCCTGATGAAAATGTTCTTAATCCCACAGACGGGATCATCGTGCCCCCTTTGGTTCAGCATTAAACCTTTTATAATTCTAAAATTCTGGTTTCTATACCTACGGTAGGCAGAATACAAATAGCCCATTGTCTGGCTTTGCGCTTTATAACAAACAAATGGAACCAGCAAAAACGAGGACGATGAAAACCATGGATATTCAAATACCGCAGATATTATAAAAACAAAATGTATGATTTTTCTATCATCTTATGTTTATCATATATCATATGTCATGTTTTATTTGAATGGTTATTTACTTATATATCAGTCAAAATACGGAGCCTAAGGACTACTAATGCAACTTACCAGTTGTTCTCGAAGTGAGAAACAACAGAATATTTTAGACAATTGCTAGAACTTCCTACATTACAGTGGAGTAAACTAACATCTACTCTGTTCGGTGTGAATCTAATAAATCCCTAAATGCGAGCAATGACCAGCTTGAATAGTTTATTGGAATATGTTTTTACATGTCTGTGTTTGGCATTTCTTGATCATGTATGTAATGGAAAGCTTCCTGTCGAGTTGACTGTGTTGCCAGTTCTGTGTTAGAAAGCTATGAAACCATTTCTCCACTTGACAAACGACGACAAACAAGTTCCTGTTGGACACCTTCGTTATGATAGGCTTTTCAAGGTTCGATCGCTCACAAGAGCTCTTCTAGAGAGCTTCCAAGGAATACCGATGGATGATAAACTCTTTGTGAGCGAGCAAATGGTGCTGTTCAAAAGCAAGGGGTCAATCAAACAGTTACAAGCCTATAAAGCCGAAACGTTGAGGGTACAAAATATTTCTTTTTACATACAGCAACGACGTGATTTCAGCTTTGATATTTACAGTGATACAATTCTACTAGTTGGTGGAATGCCTGATCTTGGTTCAAGTTGAAATATAATCATGGAACTTTTGTCAGTTGTACCAAATAAGTTTTCCAACAAGATATACTACGACGATCGGTAGGGTAAACTTGCAAGTAGCACTCGAGAAGAGAAGAGTTTACAGTGAGGGGACTTTCCGATTCGATCTTCTTGACCATTCACGTCAGAGTGTGAGATGAATAAAAAAAAAAAGGAGGGGAGCCTTCCAAGAGAAAGCAGCGACTGTAGACGGACTAAACCTCAAGGCAAAAAAATGGTAAGACAATCAGGCGGTGACTGCTCAGTATGTGCTGCTGCTAAACCAGCTTCTACTGTTGATAGATGGGATAAGACGAAGAGAGAAACTGTTCAAGCGACATGCCCTAGTTTTGTCCTGATTCCAACAAATTCATAGGTGGGGTGGAGTTCGTGGATTCATAAATTTCGTACTACATGACGAAAATCAGATCCAGCAAATGGCATCATCGACTAATCTTCCACATGCTGGATCTGGCTGTTGTAGAGGCATGGCTCTTGTACTACAGATATAGTGAGAAATGTAGAGCCATCAAGAAAGAGCAGCTTAGTATCCTTGAAGTGTGATGTAGTAGCCTTTCGTTAAGCAGAGAAGAAAAGTATGCATAAATGCAAGGGAAGTACAAGCAAAATATAGAGAACAAGCATGTTAAGAAAACGCGAGAGGGCCCGTAACCCCCATTACCCTGTACATCAGTTCGTTAGGACCGCACTGGCCACAAGTCTGTTTTTGTTGAAGCTAGAGAAAGATGCAAATATCCAGGGAGCAAAGGACTTGACAATATGGAGTGGTGCCAACGGAGCCAAAGTATACCTCTATTTCACTGCATAGAAGAACTGTTTTATGGACTGTAATACACAGTAGCCCATTGTAAAAGTTTGTTTGTTTGAAGTTAAGCACAAAGCTACACAATAGGCTATCTGTGATCTGCCCACCACTGGTATCGAAACCCGATTTCTAGTGTCATAAGTCCACAGACGTACCGCTGTGCCACTGGGGGGGCATTGTAAAAGTGTACAGAATATTGTTAATAGTGTCTTTTGTTAACATAATATTGTTATTTTGTAAGACAAAAGGTGTAGCAAAATATTATTTTAATAAATGGAATTATTTTTGTTGGTTCCTCAATTGAACAGTGTTACTTTCAGGTAATTTTCCCATTTATAACTTACCAAAATATGTTTTACAAAAAATATTTTTTGTGCAATACAGACTTATTTAAAAAAAAAAGTCAAAGAAACATTTTTCCGCCGTATTTTTATAAGACACACAACAGAGAATTAATCAGGATGACATTAATAACATCTATTAACAAGTAAGCAATATGCATCAGTAATGAAAGCCCCTTATAAGGTCTAGAAACACTTGA